TTGTATGCTTATAAAGGAATACGGTTATATTAACGTGGGGATCACAATAGGGAAGCATATAGGTAAAAATAGATACCAAGACATACTATAAATGGATAGATGTATTATGGTTTGTTAATGTAGCTTATAGGTAGTCAGTTTGACCATTGCCTATTCTGGGTGTGATATACTGTGAAGATGTAACACTATGGATGACAGCAGGAAGACCACCACCACTGGCTATTTCGATTTTGAACAGTGGACTAACAGCCATGCCCCCCTGAGGAAGTCCCTGCAGGGAAGAAATGAATTGGGGAGACAAGTGTGTCTGTATAGAATCGCTGCTTTCGATTAGAATAGTACAATGCCACTGCCTAGGACTGTGACAAAGCCCCTTGTTTCAATCAATGGAAGTAATACAGTACCTCCTTATAATAATGTGGCATAGTGTGCTATATAGTGTGGCTGTCACAAGAAATATTTTTAAGTTTTAAATAGTGTGCTGCTAGATACAATATAACTAGGAGGTTTGAGTAGCATTGTTTCAGCTCTGCATTTGTGATTAAAGTGTAACTGAGGCCAAACTTTTTTTTTTAAAAGTTTTGGATGGAGCAAAGAGGGATTAGAACACCTGTCAGGTTTTTTTTATTGCTGTCGGTGTTCTTGTCACCCATTCTATTTGTCCATAATCATGGAAAGTTAAAGAAATTCACAAATTTTGGGTTATCGGAACAGAAATAAATGCAAAATCTTCCAATCTGGACACTAGTTCTGGTGACCCTGCTGACCACCAGGAATTTCCCTCTTGCTGGAGGAACCAACTCCCTGTTGTGGCTATTGGACTGAAAGTAAATCTCCCCAAATGGGACATAGATGGCAAAAAGTTACTCTACCCAAAACTTAAAAAGAACGCTTCAGTTCTACTTTTAAGTGATAGCCTTTTTCAAGTGTATGTACGCTGATATTGCGTTTTGAATTGGACACCTATGTAAACATATACAGTTGTGTGAAAAAAGAAAGTACACCCTCTTTGAATTCTATGGATTTAACTTTACACTCAAAAACCTAATTCTACCAATGCATCCATCTATGTATGATTATAATAAATATGTCTGGTGTAAAATCCTGTGATTTAAAATGCTTACAGAGCATTCACTTACTGCTTTGAAAGGGGAAATTACTTTTGCCAAAGCAATGCACACTTGCATAGTTGGGTTGAAAACAGACACAAGCCCATTGACTCCAACCCTTAGAGATATGAAAAAAAAGAAGAAAAGCCTGGATTGCCTTATCAGCAGAGCATTGGTGGAAAGGCATTTTCCTCTCCTGGGATGATGTGCATGGTCACAAGTCCTAGTCATGTCTAGTCTCATGTGTCAGAAATCCAGTAAATAAAGGGAGAGCTATCAATCTGCTCTTAGTAAACATGGCTACCGTCAGAAGACTGGGGAAGAAAAGATAAATAAGGTAGCAAAGAACACTTACTGCATCTATAAAAATTAAAAGGCTTAATAGCAGCCAGGTGCTTCTAATCAAATGCCCTTGATTAATTGATCATCAGAAAGTGTGACCAATTCTATAAAAGCTGAAGTTTTAGCAGTTTGCTGGTCTGGAGCATTCTGGTGTGTGTTAACACAATGCCAAGGAGGCAAAATATAAGCAATGATCTCAGAGAAGCTATTGTTGCTGACCATCAATCTGGGAAGGGTTATAAGGTACTTTCCAAACAATTTAAAGTCCATCATTCTACAGTGAGGAAGATTATTCACAATTGGAAAACATTCAAGACAGTTGCCAATCTTCCCATGAGTGGACATTCCAGCAAATTCACTCCAAGGTCAGACCATGCAATACTCTGAGAAATTGCAAAAAATCAAGTGTCACAGACATCAGTAGGCATGTTAAAGTTCATGACAGTAGAATTGGAAAAAGACTGAACATGTATGGTTTGTTTGGAAGGGTTATCTCCTCTCTAGAAAGAACATGGCAGCAAGTTTTAGGTTTGCAAAGTTGAATCTTAACAAACCACAAACTTCTGGAACAATGTCCTTTGGGCAGATGAGACCAAAGAGATGTTTGGTGAAAACCAAACACCGCATATCAGCACAAACACCTCACACCAACGGTCAAGCATGGTGGTAGAGGGGTGATGATTTGGGCTTGTTCAAGCATGGTGGTGGAGGGGTGATGATTTGGGCTAGTTTTTCAGCCCCAGGACCTGGGCACTTTGCAGTCATTAAGTCGACCAGGAACTCCTCCTGTATAACAAAGCATTCTAGAGTCAAATGTGAGGCTATCTGTCCGACAGCTAAAGCTTGGCTGAAATTGGGTCATGCAACTGGACAAGCACACCAGCGAATCTACAACAGAATGGCTGAAAAAGAAAAGAATCAAGGTGTTGCAATGGTGAAGTCAAAGTCCAGACCTCAACCAAATGCTGTGGCGAGACTTTAGGAAAGATGTGCATAAACAAATGCCCGCAAACCTCAATGAACTGAAGCAACATTGTAAAGATGGCTGAGCTCAAATTCCTCCACAAGGATGTGAGAGACTGATGAAGTCATAGACAACAATTACTTCAAGGTAATGCTGCTAAAGGTGTTGCTACACGCTATTAAATCATAAGGTGTACTTTCTCACATGGCTCCTCCATTTTGGCTTTCTAAAGTGTATTATTATAATTTTTTTATTTTTTTGGATAAATCGTGCCCGTAAGAAAAAAGGTTCATATTTTGGTTTAAAGATGTATGTGGTGTTAACTATACATTGGCTGGATTATCTCTATTTGAGGGAAATAAGTAATGTGTTTTAGATTGGACAGAAAACGAGTCAGGAAATATGGCAGGGAGATCTTGGTGTTGGAGTATCTAAAACGTATGTAAGGAGCTGACTCCGCACAACTGGTACAACCTCCAATTGTGCAAGCTGACTCTTCTGAGAATGCTAATTGCCTGGTTGTCACGCTAATCTAATGCCTCCAAGCTTCGAGTCACATTGACCCTCAACTAACATGCAGATCATAAGGTCAGAGTGCTGTTAGAACTCATGATCATGTCTAGCAATGTCCCTGCCATAGAAAGTATTAAAGACATTAGAACAGCATGATAGCCAGCCAACTAGCATTCTCATAAGCAGTTGTCAGCAGTTGAAGCCTATATTCATTCTGTAGAAGTCTCATTTAAAGTGTATGTAAAGCCAAAACTTTGATCTTTTTATAGTTTTGTATAGAGTAGAAAAGGGTTAAAACTTTTGTTGGTTTCTCTTTTGCAGTCTGTGTCTTTATGGAGCTTTCACTTCCTGTTCCTGATTAGAGGAAATCTGTTCAGTGTAAGGAGAATATTGCTCTTCGGGCCCATTCATAACAACATCCAGATTATCTCCAGACCAGACTGTTTCCAGACCCAAAATGCATCCTATTGTATCCCTATGCTATTTCTGGCATCTGTTCACATCAGTACAGTCCGTTCCAGACCCGACCAGAAAAATACTGCATGTCTCATTTTGTCTGGTCTGGAATGCACTGGAACTGCGGCAGGTTCACACTATTTTTCCGGACCAGATGTGGTCAGTAAAATGGTGTGAACCTGCTATTAAACAGTTGCCGCTGAAACAGGTGTCCTCATTGGACAATTTACCCTCCCCTCCTTTTTGCGGTGACGATTAAAAAAAATGAATTGCCTTTTGTCATCTTGACAATTGGCCTTACAGTTAAAGGTGCCCATACACCTTACAATTATCTGCAGATTTTCTGTGGTCAGATGGAAAAAGTGCAACAGATTGGCCCAGGTGGAGATTACTCCATCCACACAGTTAGGTGTAGATGGAGGAATCTGTTGCACCTTTTTCCATCTGACCACAGAAAATCTGCAGATAAATTGTAAGGTGTGTGGCCTGCTTTAGGCAGAATTAACTAAATAAACAAAACAAGTTAAACATTGCTTGGCTTTATATGGTAGAAGAAAATATGTAAGTTTCTTCTGCCATAAAAGCTTCTTTCTAGCTGTCGGCAAAAAAAAATTCTGTACACCAAGCTGCACATGCGCATATTGGCGCGCAGACCCGGCATGCCGAAGTTAAGTAACCCCTATGCACATGTGTGAGTTATATCATTAGGGTGAGGGCTGCAACTAATGGTTATTTTCATAATTGATAAGTTGGCTGATTATTTTTTCGATCAGATAAAAAAAATTAACTATCATTCTTTAATTTAAAATACAATACACAAATGCAGTGTTATAAACATAAAGTTTACTTCAGAATAAAACTGCACGCGCAGTGGGAGGCGTATGCACGATAGGGGTCAGGTGGGGCGACTGGTGGCGAGTAACTCTTAAGGCCTGGCTAGTAGCTCAGGACTTGAAATTTTGAGCCCTGTGTGTATGTATGTTATATATATATATATATTTTTAATAATTGTATCGTAAGCACATGTCGCTTGAATAGCTTCAACCAGGGAATGACAGCTGCCAGTAGCAAGATTCTGAATGTAAGTATAGCAGGCAGTGGGTGTCGCAATAGCCAGCCTGCTATTGACCATTTCAATATGAAATAGCAGGCTGGCTATTGCACCCGCCCACTGCTTGCTGTACCCTCCTCCCAGCATGGAGGAGAGAGCTAGGGGATACAGACAACTAACTGATGAATAGTTGACAACTATTCTCATAATAGATTATTATCGATATGTTGGTTGCAGCCCTACTTAGGGCCCAGTCAATCAAGCAGTGGAAGAATAAGAACCTGGAAGTGGACCCAGCTGAAGATGGAAGCACCGGAGGGGAGGAGTGCTGCGCTAGAGGGGATCAGTTTGGCAGATAAGTCTGCCATAATGTTCTATTTTGCTGTGCATACTCTCACAAGTAGTAGAATTTATCAGTGGTTTCTGAATCCTATGATTTCCTTCTTTATAATTCATATTGCTGTTAATCGTGGGTTCTGTGGGGAATTTGAATTGAAGTAGTTTGCACGTTAGTATTATTTATAGCTGTATTTAACATTTTATCCTTATGCTTTTTTTCCTCCAGATAAAGCTCCGTTATCCAAAGGCCTTCTCCTTATCCCAGGTGCTCTCTCAGTTTTACTTGCACTCCTGTTTCAGCAGCAGCAGCAAGCATTCTTTGTATATGATGTACAAGCAATAAAAGACAGTTTTCATGTAAGTCTGACTTAGACATGTTTATTGTTGGTTATAAGCTTTAAACTGTAATCCTAACTTAATACTTTCACTGAAAGAATAAATGTTTGTTTAGTTTGACTGTCCTTCAGTTTTTTAGTTTTTTTTTTTCAATATTGTTTTAGGCCACTTTCACACAGGCAGTCCGTTCAGATCCACCTGTCAGTTTTTCAGTCATATCTGATGGGAAGCCCAATGTAATTAATTTGGGAGATGAATGTGAACAGATGTGTGCCCGTTTACATCCGATTTACCCCCGGCTCCGTCTTGGTCCGGAAAAAAAAAAGCGAACAGAGTTCGGTTTTGGCGGACCTGATTGTGACGGATTGGAGTTAGTCAGATGGAAATGGACACATGTCCGCTTCCATTCAACTGCCTATAGACCTAACATGGGTCAGATCAGTTCAGTTTTTTTTTTCTTCCATCGTATGATGGAGGGAATACTGAACGGACATGGATCTCACAAAAGTGGCATCTATTCAGTACTGCTTCGATCAGCAGGGGATCTGTGCATGGTCCTTCCTCCTAGCGCCTGAGCTTGTGAAAGAATAAATAAGTCCAGGGACAAGGTAAGGGGAAAAAAAACTCAGAGTAAAAGGGAGGTTTGGGGTTAATGACAGCTGCTACTTTGTCATGAGCAAAATGAAATACTGCAAATGAACATTGTGTAGTTCATAATTTAGTAATTGGATGGAGTTTAGTCTCCTTTACACATAATTACTCTCCCCCTGCCTAACAAGTCTTATACTTTCTGATGGTGAGATTGCCTACCTTTGGGATGCAATATAGATGGCCACTCCAGAGGCGAGGACCGCTTTGAAGATGGGTGATGACATTGAGAAGATATGACTTGTTTACTGAAGCACTTGATTGACCAGTCGATGCTCCTGGATGCATTCAAGCCAAAATCCTGTTTCCTTGCTGGTGTGTCCGAGCTTGCAGTGGTAGCTGGGGTGTACTCCTCTGCATAATCAAAAGGGAGTGAGACCTAGCTCACCTTTTATTGTGAATGGGAGACACGTTTTCCTTTTTTTTTTTTTTTTTTTTTTTTTTACCCCTTTTTTTTCGGTCCCCCCCTCTCTTTATTT